AAAGCACAATAAAATAAAAAATAAAAAAAGAATGTCTACCTTGAGCATTGTGCTCTTTTAAGAACTATCTATATGAGATCAAAGTGACAACAGCAACTCGAAAGGCTAGACAGGAAGCTTAGGGGGCAGTGAGTTTATGTTACTGAGTGAAGAACAATTCAGAAAAGGAGGGTGAGAATGGTTGTACAACTTGAAGAATGTAATCAATGTCACTGAATTGTACTTGCAGAAACTGTTGAATTGGTGTATGTTCTGCTGTGTATATTCTCAACAACAAATAAAACAAATTATTTAAAAAAAAAAAAGATTCTGATACAGACCCCTGGGTTTGTACTCCCCTCCTCCACCCTCAGTGACAATCTCGAGCTCACACTTTATACTACAAGAAGCCTCCATAACTCTCCCTGTTAACCAAGCCGACTTTTGCCAGCCAGGCGAAACATTTATCTGGCCCTGGCTAACGATCTGCCCTGGGCAGGGCTGAATGGAGCTGGCTTTCACCATGAACCAGATGCGACCCTGCTCTTGGAGGTCTCTGATCTGGCCTCTGGGGCTCAGGAGTGGATGTAGGTCCCTGGCAGTTTCTGCAGAGAGGGTCAGGGCTTGTGGTCCGTACCAGGCAGATGCAGCTCAGGCAGGGGTCCAGCACAGACGGGAAGGTCTCATTGTTGTAGAAGATTCTGCCTGTGTAGGTGCAGCCTGCCAGGGAGAACACGCGGTGAGCACCGGCCAGGAGGATGATTGGCGGCCAGGTTCCCAGCCAGGGCAAAGGTCCGAGGCTTATCTGGAGAGCAAGGGTCGGGCCACTGCCTTCCCAGAGCAGCTGCCCCAGGGGGTGAGGGAAGTGGCAAAGCATATGTCTGAATTGGGTGCTGACTTTTTTGCACCAAATTCAGTAAAGGGATCCAGTGAATGTGGAAGAACCTGGAAACAGTGTCTTCTCCTGGCCTTCTGGGTTCTCGCCCCAGTGAGAGTAGGAGCTTCCTCCTCTACCCCTCAGCAGATAGGATCGTGCCAGGGGCTTGGGAGACCCCACCTGTGTGTACCACATCATCCTCCCAGCATCGTCTCTGCTCCTCCCCACTTAGCGAAACCCTGCCAAGGCCCAAGGCTCATCTCACCCCCCACCTAGTCCACACGTTCCCCAAACCACTCCCCTCTCTGCTTCCTGATGTCCCCAGACACGCAACCTTAACGCTACCTTGAGGATATTTATCACCTACTCTTCAGGATACCTGGTGGCACAGCGGTTAAGCATTCAGCTGCTAACTGAAAGGTCAGTAGTTCGAACCCACCAGCCACTCCGTGGGTGAAAGATGTGGCAATCTGCTTCTATAAAGATTTACAGCCTTGGAAACCCTATGGGGCAGTTTTACTCTGTCTAAACCCTAGTGGCATAGTGGTTAAGAGTTCGGCTGCTAACCAAAAGGTTGGCAGTTCGAATCCACCAGGCACTCCTTGGAAACCCTGTGAGGCAGTTCTACTCTGTTCTGTAGGGTCACTATGAGATGGAATCAACTTCATGGCAACAGGTTTGGTTTGGGTTCGGTTTATAGGGTCGCTATGAGTTGGAATCGACTTGACGGCAACGGGTTTGATTTGGTTTTTGGGTTCGGTACAAAGGGTCTCTCGGTGGAGCAAGCAGTTTGAGCACTACTAACTGAAAGGCTGGTGGTTCAGACCCACCCAGCAGTGCCACAGAAGAAAGGCCTGGCAATCTGCTTCCGTAAAGATCACAGCCAAGAAAACCCTAGGGAGCTCAGTTCTACTCTGTAACACATGGGATTGCCATGAGTCAGAATCGACTCGACAGCAACGGGGTTGGTTTGG